AACTCGGGCGATCGTCGAGAGTGCCTAACACTACTCTACAATTGTTATGCGGATTGCGGATGTAGTGTTTTGATTTACAATGTTAGGATGTGGCCGTTGTCTTTTCCGTACCTGCTTGAGTATAAGTGGCGGTGCTGAAAAATGATACTAATTTGTTAGAATGAGAGTCCGATTTTATATCTGCAGGTAATATTATGTAATATCGTAATATTAGATCAATTTGAATCTTTTTTTATAGAATCTGTTGACTTTGGTAGAAAGTATTAAGTAATGTATACCATTGTCCTCGTGTACCATCACTTTATATGCTGTTGGATCAATATTTAAATAATCAAGTTTTACACTTTTACAATATGTTTGAATGTATCGGATATTGATATCAACTTTTTTATATTTTGTAAAATACTCTATTACAAATATTTATAACTGTATATTCCATGTACCTATATTATATAAATATAAAAAAAAAAACATGGTAACTGTCAAAAGACGATTATAATTAATAAATTAGCATTTTTAATTATATCGGTATATGCTACATTTAAAAATAATATTATGTACCTATGGGTTTTGCACATAAATAGTGTCCACAGCAAACTGTCCAAAAAACAGAGAACAATCTATGTCGCTCTAAAAATAAATAATTAATACACTTTTTTAGCATGGACAGTATAAATGTATTTGTTTTATTTTTTAAATTAAAAAATTACAGTCTATTTTTTTTTAGAGCGATGAATGTATTGATTTTACATTGATGTGTTTTTTTTTAATTTTTTAATTTTTGTCTGTGATGACAAAATTATTGGGAAGTAAAAATGCTTTGATTTTCTATTTCAGTATCTTTTTTTGGTAGAAATGTCAATCTAGTTCTACCTATGGATTAAAAGTAAAAATTCCCAGTATCTTTGTAATATACGGAAAGAATTAAGAATAAACGAAAATGCTTACGAAAAATTAGTTTTTGACAAAATCACAAACTAAAAAACGAATAACCGTAGATACTTAAAATGTTCAAGGTGATATGGTAAGATTACATGATAAAATTTAAACTCTTTATATTACTCTACTTTTATATTATACTCTAAATATTTTGACTCTTTTTGAGCTATTTGTAGACGTTAGAATTTTTTTTCATACATTTTGGTCATTTTTTGCTTGGTTTAACACTTAAATAAATTTTAATATAAGGTTCTTTACATGCAGTTCTTATCGATGTAGAAAAATATTGAAAACACATACCTATGCAAACTTGTTTAATAATTATTTTAAGTTAACAAAGAATAACAATTTTAGTTATTTTGTTGTTATTTAGAAAAAAATTCGAGGTGGGTACTCGAAATATATTATTTCAAACTTATTCATCCTACTGTGTTACTATTAGAAAATTAACTACTTTTATAGCAATATAATAAATTATATTATATAACATATTTGTAATATATAGGCCGATGTTTAGTCGTCGCTCAGAATTGTTTTTCGTATACAATAATATAACATCATTAAATTAAAATTTAACACATCCATCACAGAGACCCACACTACACCAGCTGATGTGCAGCAGCCCCTAGTAGTAGGTACTGTCATTTCAAATCAAACCTTTTTTGTTTTATTATTTTTTGATAATTTAAAAACTAATACATATTTTGCCACATTTATTTTTATTACATCAAATTATATGAGTTATATAATATTATATTCCATACTTAACATACATTTTGAAACACTTTTACTCCATGGTGTGTGTTATAGAAAATTGTAAATTTTAGTTTACACCAAATTTGATACATCAATTAAAAATATGTCCATGAAGGTTGACTGTGACACTTTCTTATACCAAGTTCTGAATAATGTACCCATATTTTGCAAAGTATAATTAGCAAAATGTACAAGTCGAATCATGAAATTTTCATGTCGAGAACAAAGCAGTTATTAAAGGTAGAACCGAAGAAAGGCTAACTTCAAGCAGTTTTTAAACATGTTGTCCACAACTTTTCAAACTAATGTCAAAATACTTTTTATAATAATTAGCAACAATTCGAAATTTGTTTATCGCTGAACCGCACGCATAAACTCAAAAGTAAGCAGCTATAAATATCATTATTAAAATCCTAGTTTACATAATTTTCACTCATACAATTTAGTAGGATTCTAGTATAATTACTTTATCCCTTCTCAAAATGTTATTAAGTTTATTTTAAATAACACAAAACTGTAAACAAATTTGACCAAGTACATTAAATTATTTTAAAAGTTAATTATTGTTAAGTATTTAAGTGTAAGCTTATTGATTGTTTAAACAGCTTTTTTAATTCAATATATTTTGTCTCACGAAAATCAAATCCATAAGTCCATTATATTTATATTTCATTAATGACATAAACGAAGTTAACCTTACCGATTTCATATTTTATTACAAATTATTAAATTAACTGATATTTATTTACTCATAAAAGCAGACCTCATTCTTTTTTGCAAATGCAATAAATTAAAAAGTGTAAAGGCATTGGAAATAATAATTAATAATTAATTTTGACAAACAACTTTGAAATATCTTAGGGTCGTCCCCTTATTTGATTTGCGAATCGAGATAGTGAACTTGCGAATTATCTCTCAGTATTACGAATATTTTGACATTAGTTTGAAATGTTTCGGAAAACATGTAAGGGCTTCTAGAAGTTAGTCCTTCTTCGTTTCAACCCCTAATAATTCTTGAAAATTATTTCTGAGTATTTAAAAAAAAAGTTTGCTATTCAGAATTTGTTTTAAAAAAGTGTAAGGGGCTAACTTTACGGATATTTGAAATATATTTTAATTTAAACAACAGATTCGAGTTAAATGAGTTTTTGTATGTATCTACGACCTACCTACTCAAAATTGTTTCGAATTAATATAAAAATCATAAATTATTAACCATACAATATTCCAATCTATGATTGAATATTTTCTTAAATTAATGTAATAATTACTGACAATTTACTGAAGTTTTAACTTTAATTACAGACTCTGAATTCGACTAATATTTTCCACTAGTAAAAGAAATATCTAATAATTTTGATCTTTTAATATTTATAATATTACTGAAATCATATAGTTTTATGTTTTATGCATTATTAAAAGGATCGATACATTAAAAATATACATTTTATTTAGCACTTACATTAAAAATACACATTTTTATTAGCACTTACATTTTATTTAAAAATGTATAAGCCACATATTTTGAAAGTTAAAATATTAAAATATTTTTAATAAAATAATAAATAACATTATTTAAACATCAGAATGATTTCTTTTGAAGAAAAAAGTTTTTCTTTAAATTTCACAATTAATCATTGACAACATTTTTTTAAAATAAAACAAAATCTTCCATGGCCATTTAGTATAGTGCCCTGTTTAATAGTGACCTATTTTATAATCGAGGTGAATTCGGGTTTTTAAAAATTAAATTTAGAGACATTCTAAATATAAACCAGAGCTAGACAGATGATTTTCTTGGAGTATATTCCTAGAAAAAAATACGTTATGTTTTCTTGTATTCTAGAGTCCAAACAAAGTAAATGATTTATCGGTTTTGAAGTTATGTGCAAGTTATGTATTTAATAATATATTTTTATTTTTATTTTTATTAAGTTAAGGACATCGTACTTCACCTATTTATTATATCATTTAATATGAATTTTAAATTGTACTTATGTGAGTATTTATATCTAAAAATATAGATACCTAGACACCTAGTGGTTTTTGAGTATATCATATATTTTATAAGATGTTCTATAATAAGTATAAGAAGCTTAACTTTCCTTATATAATCATATGATTTCCCCTTAAAGGATTGAATGTTCTAAAAATGTGAAATTGTATTGCTTGTTGATAGAAAAATAATACATTTTGTCGATATAAAATGGGAAATTTATGAAGAATGCTCAACAGTCAATTATTGAATCTGGTACATTTCATTTCAGTTTTGTTTAATTTCAGCCCACGTGATTAATGCGCTCTTTTAACTTCTAAGTTTAAACATGTCAACTTCATAACAAGTTAATAATAGAGGACGCGGGCTGCATTATTAATCCAAATATTTTTTAGTTTTCTGCAATAATGAAAGTACGTTAATTTTATATTTTATCATTTAAAAAGAGTATGTTTATACACATAAATAAAAAAAGTGACGATCCCATTGAGTATTTCATTGAACACCATATAAATAAATAATTATGGACAACGAGAAAAAAATAAATCACTTTTTGAAACGACCTTCGTGTGTAATATTTTCCGCGTCATATTCGACTAATAAGTGTCAAAGTCAATCGAGCTCGCAGATTTAAGTACATATAATTACATCAACCGAATTATTGATAGTTATAGATAATTACTTTCCAGTCATAGTAAATTGGATCAAACATAAACTGTGTGTGGTGTAGATAGAAATAATATCCATCATAATAATATAGGTTATTTTTATAACTAAAAATCGAACAAATAATGTTTTATAAACAATTATTGAGTCTGAAAATTATTATCTATAGTCAGTAAATGTATTTTGTTATTCGTTTTAGTTATAGGCAGTTATAGTACGTCGTCAAAATATGTATATTTTTCGTATTTGAAGTTACAGACATTTAGAATATACCTGCAATACGGCATAATATAATGTGTGTACAATAATAATTTATTTTCAGCTAGCAACAGTATAATTGAGATGATATTATTTTATTCGTTATATTATGCAGAGTTTATGACGTTTGAGTTGTGAAAATATAATATAATTGGTACAGTCCAATTACAAGTATTATATATTATTCTATCTTTGAGCTGAGAATTACATAATTACTACTAGTCCTGTGCCTATATATATATATATATGTAGAAATATATTAAATGTAATGTTAGATACCTTATACCAAGAATATACCTCGAAATGTCTTGTCGACTTTTATTACGTAACGCGCTTTATGTTCATTATTATTATTATTATTATTATTATTATTATTATTATTTACCTGCTCGGTCGATTGTTCTTCTATGACCATTTTCATCTCGAGACATTGCCGGGTTTCCAGAAAGGCGGTCCGCTGCTGCTTGTCGGCCAGGAAATAGGACAAAAGTCCCAAACAATTGGACGCCAAAAGGAGAACGCTGTTCGTGGCCAACTATAAAATAATAAAAAAAAACCACACATATAATATCATATAATACACAAACACACGATATGACAGAAATCGTAAAAAAATAAAATAATGATATTATTTATGAAATGAAATCATTGTTATTATCATGCGTTTATATTGCATTATACTGTATGTATGTGGTATGTGTGTGTGTTTAATACCAGCTCGGTTTATGGGTCTATTGTGATGTGTAGACGTATACGAGAGACCATATGTATTTACTATATAGTACACCACCCTAGCCGTGCGCATGTATACCATTCGGGGTCTGCAGCTTCCAACGGTTACCGCGGTTACGGGCGTCGGTCGGTCGGTTGTCAAATAGTTATAATAATAATAATAATAATTATTATTATTATTATAACCTAATATTATAACGGATTATGTAGAAGTACCTCATCTGTACACGTCCTGTAAAACACGCGACGTACAGCATAAACAGATATAGGTACGTCCTCTATGCTCGCGGATGTGCGTATTAGGTCGACGACAATCGTCATTTCACGGCAGATTATACCGACGAAACAAAACGCGTATCTGTTATACACACACACGCGCGCACACACACACACACACACACACACACACACACACACACACACACACACACACACACACACACACACACACACACACACCGCGACGAGACAATGGGATGCATTGAATTACTTATATATATATATATATATATATAATATACACGCACACACACCACTGTGATGGGGATTTATGACCGTGTCAAGCGCGCTTTCATTTTATTCCGCAAAACCCATAAAAAACCGTAAATCGATCAATGTCAATCGGCGGAACGACGTCGTCGCGTATATACGAAACAATAATAATAATATAGTGTATTGTCGCGAAAACGGTCTACATAAATATATTTCACAGATGGTTATTACCATCACACGTATATGTATATATATATTATATAGGTACATTCGGTTATTAGATTAATATTTTATTGCCCGCCGAGCCGAGCGCCGCCGCCGCCGCGCCGCTGTAGGCCTTTATTTTTTATTTTTTTATCGTCCTCTCTCTCCCGATAAGCTTTTTAATAGAGACCTGCGACTGCCCGGCCGTAAGGTACATCGTATTATTATTATTATTATATTATTATTGTGTACTACTACAGTGCCCACGTTCATTACTCGTGCGTGTAACATTGTGACGTCACGATATTATTATTATTTTATTGTCTGATCTGATTTTTGTAATACACGAACAAATCGCATAGCGTTCTTCCGGCTTTCAATATTGTGTTGAATTAATCACGGAGAGGCTCGAATATACTATGGGCATACATTATTATATAATAGGCTGTGCGAGTTTTAAAGTGTATTTTCTGATATGTGCACCTACGTGTATGTACCGTACGAGCATTGTTTTATCCACACGTAGGTTGTAGGTAGGTATGTATACCATCATTATTAAGGCATTAATAGTGGCTAGTATACATTTTTGAATTATCCGAAAATCGGTTTGAATAATTTAACGTGGGTATGGCACCTATATTTCGTAATATTATAAATGCTTATTACGGTTTACGAGCGTTATTTATGGAAAACGAACAGCGTAGATAATAATAGCAAGAAAGACAAAATGAACCAAGTCGTTGTACAACATACTAGTTATATGTGAAATATATCTATTACACAAGGATGGTAATAAAATCAGAAATATACTTATATTATAGGTGCGTGTATTAGGTGTAATGTAAACAGTAATTTCGTTTTTAAAAATGTGAAAATAAACTCGTATTTCATATTCTGAATGAAGAAAACGGAGGAATAAATGTGTTTTTTACACACAATATTCTATAGGTAGGTAAAGGGTGCCTAACTATAATTATTGTTATTATGCCATTGGCCATATTGTATGTTGTATTTTTTCGAAAATATCTACGAACTATTTTTAAACTTATCTCTTTGAATAAAGGAATAATATGAATCAATAACTCGGTAGGTATTTAAAGACGGTATTTTCAAGCGAATATTTTGAGAATAAATGGCTATTGTATAGCTCGAAAAGCTGGCTACAAAGTATAACAATAAAGCACATAATCACTGAGCGTTGACACTTGACAATATTACCGGCAAGGAATGAGCGGCACATTAATATACCGAGCAACTTCATGGAACCTCTTTAAGACCCGACAAAATACGAATTGCCGAAATCCACAGATTCTGGACTACCTACCTGCGAAATAATTACATATCGCACCACTGCTCGGACGAAAATCGCATTCCGCCATTCGCTACTCGACGCAATAATATAATATTTTATTATATTATACTTCATATAATGCTGATTATTATTAAAATATTTTCGATTTATTTGGAATGAATTTAATATCTAAACACGAAAGTGTATAGATAATTTATAAATGTTATAATATTATGATTAAACATCATTGAAGATGCTAATACACAATATTATCGTCATCGATTCGTATATTTATTTATTTTTTTAATAATTTATAGTAATATTATAAGTGTTGCGCCTCCCTAAACAGTAAACAAAAATTAGGTGTGTAAAAGAGGTGTATAATTGCTTTTAAAAGTAAACTAATGGATTCCTTTTTGTGTATGTAACAGCGCAGAAACTTAAAGAAAATACTTGTTACTCGCTTTTCAGGAAAAAATAATTACAACATGTCTCTGTGATGGACTAAGACTTACGAGTAGGGTATATTGCACAATTTTTTTCTCTAAATTTAAGTATTAATATAATCTTCAATTCACCATAATGTTTCAAAACCGTTGTTTGGCTTCCGTGTTTAAATTAAATTACATATTATAAATTTATAAAACTCGAGTAACCTATACGATTGTACACGAACAATAACATAACATATTTATTCGATGCTTTAATATGGTTAATTTTTCCAAAAAAGTTTAAGCCACAATACATTTTTTTTTTAAATGTATCTAACTTCTGTAACTGGACACTAGTGGTTTGTGGGGAAAAATTGTTAGTTTGAAATACTTATTGTATGTGTGGCAAGAACTTTGTTGCTAAAAATCCCGGATGGGTGACCCATCCGGGAGCTACTTACGCCGGCTGATGTGTACACACACTCAGTGCGCGTACTCAACTGAGTGTAGACACCTCGCCACACCAAGCCACACAATAAAATATTATATGACCATTATTGAAGTTAACAATCTTCATCAGAGAGCTTATTGCATTTTACGCGTTTACATAAAGGTACATAGGTTCATATTTTTAAGTGTTTATATTAAACAAGTTTGTGTTCATGTTATTTTTCGCGTTTTATTATTTTTTCCACGTGCATTAGAGTACGTACGGTTTTGTATAAATATTCGTTTTTTAAAATGACAGTTTTCGAGAGTGCACAAGGCGCAGGTTAGCACAATGTGTGGTTTTATGACAGTTTGAAAAAAATGACACAAATATTGAATGATGGTATTATAACAAGCCTAGAAAAACTAAGTCATTCGACCGATCGTCCATTTTGGATTCGAATGAGAACAGGTATATATTATAAAGAAATGATATGAATAAATATACGTTTTTTTTTAAAATTCTACACCTAAAATAATACACGTCTTGTATCGACAATTTTTGTAAATATTATTTGTAATGTAATTTTTTGTATTTTATGCACATATTAATTATTATTTATAATGTCATTATAGATAGTATAAAATGGCCTGGAGTCAGACATTTTTAATGGTCAATACATTTACTCGAGTGGTCATTATACTGTGCTGTGTGCGGTGTATATATTATTTGAAACCAGTAAATATAATATAATTGCAAGTATTACATTATTATGTCAATCGATTACGAGATGCATGTTATATTTAAATTATATCTAAATATACAATACGTATTGTAGTACGGGTATAATTGTAATAATGAATTCATTAATTTAATTACCTATCTGAAAACTTGGTCATGATAATTATTATTAAATATAATTAAATATTACAATACTGAAATGTTCAGTTTATTTTCAAAACAGCTTCTTTGACCGCCAGATATTCAGACAAAACTGTACCACCTCATGCCTGTTCCATTTTATTGGCTGTAAAATATAATTTTACACGAAAATAAATTACTAAAGCGAATTTGATCTTTACATCGGTGGCCGATTCCAGATTTTTGTTTAATTCTCGAATATTAAAATTGATAAAAAAAAAATAAGCGTTACAAATATAATATAATACGATAATACAATAACTGTTAATAATTCCTATCGTAGGGTTACAGTCGGGGTTTTGATGGATTAAATACCAATGACGTATATACGCGACAGTTTCAAATCGCTGAATATTGTCAGTTTATTGTCTAATAAAATATAGAAGACAGAGCTTTAAAAAGAACAAGCCGGTGGGATGTATTCCACGGCAGCTTAATCTTAGACAGTAAATCAAAAAGTGTCGTGAAACTGTAAGTCTACGAAGTACAATATATAATATAATATGTTATTATATATATACATTGTGTATAGATTATAGGAGAACAAATTTACAACATTGTTTCTGAGCATAATGCATTTTCTAATTGAAATAAATATATACAATCTCCTAATATATCTTACGGCCGTCGCTCATAAGCGGGGTTCAGAACTTTATGAGCTAAAAACAATAAAATACGTCGTATGCATTAATCCAATCCTTAATAAATGCTATATTATAATGCAATTATTAATTTTTTTATAAAATACACATTTATTGGTAACTAACATGGGAAAATGCATAGTGATTCATTCTCTTCAATAATATGCAATAATATAGGTTGCAAACCATTTTCTGGACTATAACTGTTTAGGTCCATCTAATTTTAACGCAATGCCAATACATCTTAAAAAAAATATTTTTTTATAATAACTCAATTATCCCACCACAAGCATTTGCTTAAGTGGATGATTTAATTTTAATATCTTACTACTAATAATTTGTTTTAATTGTAATGTATTGATATAGGTATATATATAGTATTTGTATTGCATA